TTCTAAAAGAGGATTCTACTACATTGGATTTAGCAGCTAAAGGTTAGGTTGAGGTTTTGAATCTAGTTGACTTGAAAAATAGCAGTGCCTTTCATGAAAATAGGTTGAGTGACAATATAATGTGTCATCCAAACTCTTGTGTGTAAAAGAGCCTGCTAGGGTTAATTCTTTTGGGACAGGGGACATAAACTGGGATTGTCCTGAGGATTTGGGCTTGAAGTCCTTTGGAAGGGAAGTGGGAGATGAGTTTAATTCCAAGCACACTGAGTTTGAGAGGGCAGCTGATGGCTTGGGTGAAATCCAAGTTTCAAGCAAGTACAAATATATGTGAAAGATCAGGAATAGAAATAAAGACTTCTAGTGGAATTGGGAAATTCCAGAATCTGATCTCTGAGGCAAATCAGCAGTTATGAATCAGGAAGATGGAAGGAATCAGCAGAGAATCAGTCTAAGGTTAGTCAGAATGAAAGGTTGATCAATAAAGCATGGGAGTCAGAGAGAGGAATTTCTTGGAGGAGGTTGTTACTAGTATTAAAATTGACAAAATTTATTTTATGGCAGTTGAACACGACTAGGGCAAGCTGTCTTGATTTTGCATTTGTGTTTGAATGAGTTAGTTGTTCTAGCCTTACTTATCTGACCATTTCATAAATAAAATGGACACCTTAGAACCCCAGAATATTCCCTTGCCAGCCACTTTTACTGAAAAGGGGGAAAATCATTTGAAAGATGGCCCTATGTATTCCCTCCAAATTCTTTGACCTGAAGTTACTTTTCCACTTGAAAGGAAGACTGTCACTGCCAGGAGACACTTAAGGGATGTTAAGTAATGTTTCCCTCAGAGCAATTTGCAAGTGTTGTGTTTTTCCCCTTGTACAAAGGACAGATCTAAGAAAAATGTGTAATGCAGCTGGGAAAGATTTTCATTCTTAGGAGGCTGCTGAACATTTTAGAAATGAATTTAAGTGAAGCAGAACATTTACATTTATAAATTGTCCCTCTAATGTATCTGTTTCAACACTCCACAATATCTATGGTATCCACATCATTCAGCATCTAAACGGCTTACCTAAAAGTTCAGGGCCAGCTGTGTAACTGTTCACATCAACTAGCATCCCAGAGCCTCAGTTTCCTCACCAATAAAATGGAGATTAAAAGTGGGATGACTTCTAAAGTCCCCTTCAGTTCCAAAATTATCATTTTAGAAGATGATTCCAAAAGAAGGAGGGGGCCTGGTCCCCTTGGGTATATCTCTTGAGTGTCCTAAGTGAGTTTAACGTTATACACGTTCTTTAAATAATATTAAAATCAGTATGATCTAACTCTTTTAAAAAAAGATTTATTTAGGGGCACCTGGGTGGCTCAGTTGGTTAAGCGACTGCCTTCAGCTCAGGTCAGGATCTCGGGGTCCTGGGATTGAGCCCTGCATGGGGTCCCTGCTCGGCGGGAGGCCTGCTTCTCCCTCTCCCGCTCCCCCTGCTTGTGTTCCCTCTCTCGCTGTCTCTCTCTCTGTCAAATAAATAAATAAAATATTTAAAAATAAATAAATAAAATAAAAAGATTTATTTAGTTAGTTGAGAGAGAGAGCATGCACACAAGTGGGGGGGAGCAAAGAGGGAGAGGGAGAGAGGATCCCAAGCAGACTCCTCACTGAGTGTGGAGCTTGATGTGGGCCGATCCCACAACCCCAAGATCATCAAGCCGAAGCCAAGAGTTGGACGCTCAATCAACTGCACCACCCAGGTGCCCCAGTATGATCTGACTTTTATTAGGTTAATGGAACTTGACCATGAATCTATCTTACTTTGGGTTGATTTTTAAAAGGATTGTAGATGCGCCTGGGTGGCTCAGTCGTTAAGCGTCTGCCTTCTGATCGGGTCGTGATCCCAGGGGTCCTGGGATTGAGCCCAGCATCTGGCTGCCACTTCGGCGGGGACCCTGCTTCTCCCTCTCCCTCTGCTGCTCCCCCTGCTTGTGCTCGCTGGTTCTCTGTCAAATAAATAAACTCTTAAAAAAAAAAAAAAGGATTGTAAAAAAATTTCCAAAGAAGATTCTCTTTTACCTCTTTCTTTTTCTCTATAAATATTTTGCTTTGTTCACTCTTTCTATGAGTTTGTCAACTGCACAGGTGTGTTTTAGCACTCTTTACAGAAATTATCAACTTTTCTCCTGCTGTTTAGCCAGTGATACGTTCTGCTTCATTCCTATCAATATATTAACAAGTTAGTTCTCCTTTCTTAAAATCCTCTCTTTATTCTACTTTTCGCATCCGCTACCACGTATTTGCTCCTTCCCTTTACAACAACGGTTTCCTCAACCTCGACTTTGACATTTTGGACTTGATACTTAAATTTCTGCTCCACTTTATTGTGGGGGTCTGTCCTGTGCATTTCAGGATGTTTAGCAACATTCCTGGTTTCTACCCCCAGATGCCAGTTGCACCCCCCCAAAAAAGGTCTGCAGACATTACCAAATTGTACCCTAGAGGCAAAATCCTCCCCACTTGGGAACCATTGCTCTGCAGCAAAGGAAAGCTCTATCTGTACTCTCACCTTTTTCTCCTCCCATCCCTTCTTGACCACTCCCCTACTGAAAATGCTCTCAAGGACATCAGTCACCTCCATGCTGTTAACCCGATGGCCATTTCTCAACATCTTACTTAACCTCTCACTAGCCCTTGATGTATACACACAACTGATTATTCCCACCTTCTTGGAACCATATTCTTTGTTTGGATTCCAGAACACCACTGTCTTACTTTCCTTTCCACCTCATCGGCTGTTCTTTCTCAGTCTCTTTTGCTGGTTTTTCCTCTTCTCTCTCACCACTTAATGGCAGGATGCCCCAGGGTTAACTGTGTGCTGAAGCAAGTTATGTTTGGTTTTGTTTTTAAAGATTTTATTTATTTGACAGAGTGAGAGCACAAGCAGGGGGAGTGGCAGGCAGATGGAGAAGCAGGCTTCCTGCGGAGCAGGGAGCCTGATGTGGTACTTGATCAAAGGACCCTAGTATCATGACTGAGCCGAAGGCAGACGCTTAATCGACTGAGCCACCCAGGCGCCCCTAGATGTGGTTTTAATTACGAAATATATCAAAGGTAGAAAACAGTATAACAGCAACTGTGTGCTAGCCATTATTCTAAGTGTGTTAGGTACAGTGGTGTATCTAGCATGTCTGACACCCACAACAGGTCAATTTTTACATCCTCTCCACTTCTTTCTTCTTTTTTGGGTAAACTTTATTTTTTAGAGCAGTTTTAGTTTCAGAGCAAAATTGAGTGTGATATACAGAGAGTTCTCATATACCTTCTATCCTCCACATGCACAGCCTCCCACACTATCAACATCCCACACCAGCATGGGACGTTGTTACAACTGATGTACCTACACTGACACATCATTATCACCCAAAGTCCATAGCATACTGTTAGATTTCTCTGACTGTTGTACATTCTGAGTTTTGACAAATGTTTAATGACATATCTGCCATTACAGTATCATATAGAAGTTTCACCGCCTTAAAAAATCCCCTGTGCTCCACCTATTCCTCCCAACCTCCCAAACCCTGGCAACCAATGATCTTTTCCCCAGTCTCATCTTTTCCAGAATGTCATGTAGTTGGAATCATAGTATGTAGTCTTTTCAGATTGGCTTCTTCCACTTAATAGTATGAACTTATATTTCCTCCATGTCTTTTCATGGTTGTGCTCCAGCAATTGACAAATCTGATTATATGCTTATGGAACACAAATATGCAAAGATGATCAGTTTTGACAGCCATTGACAAATTTGCAGAAACTGTATCATTCATTCCTTTACCAGTCCAATATGTAGGATAAAAGTTCTTAAGATACATTTTTGTAATTTAAAAAGTATTAATCTCTTACCCTTTGTACTGTAATACTGGTTTTATTTTTAATTAAAAAATTTACTGGCATCTTTATTGTTTTTTTCAATGGACCACAAACTAGCATCATATTTAGATGAAGTTTAAAGTTTAATAAGATAATATTTTCACAGTTTATTTTCTGGCCATTGCTAGTCAGTTCATTTCAGGATTATTACTGAAAGTACTTTTTTCCTAATGGAGATGGGGTGGTCAAGAGAATGAGAAGACAAATCACAGACTGGGAGAAAATATTTATAAAACATGTATCTGATAAAGGACTGTTATCCAAGATATACAAAGAACCCTTAAAACTCAAAGATAAGAAAACGAACAACCCAGGGGCGCCTGGCTGACTTAGAAGACCATGCGACTGGATCTCGGGGTTGTGGGTTTGAGCCCCACGTAAGGTGTAAAGATTACTTAAATAAAATTTTTTTTAAATAGAAAAAAAAAATGAACAACCCAAATTAAAATATTGGCTAAAGATTTGAATAGATATCTCACCAAAGAAGATCTACAGATAGCAAATACGATGCTCAACATCGTATGTCATTAGGAAATTGCAAATTAAAATAAGTTACCACTACACAGATATTAGGATGGCTAAAACTCAACCTAGCCTTTATTCACTCTGAGCTGGTGAGTCATTTTAAAGGGTAAAAATATGCCCTTTTGCCCTCAAGGATGATATCCAAAGGGTGAAGCTTGATTTCTGCAGGAACACACAATACCTGAGAGAAGGGGGCGTGGTGCCTTCAGCCTAGTGCGCAAGCCCGACTGTAAAAGCAGTTAGGACTGCCCCTAGCGCCTGATTAAAATATTTAACCCCAGCTGTTGGAGATTCCCCCAACTCTACTATATTAACTTATTTATGGTAAGTGACCATACGTTTTTATTAATTTTTGAGATAGAAATTTCTCTCCGAGTCATCTTATTTCAATTGAGCATGTATTCATACTGAAGTGCCTTTTGTCCCCAGCCCCATTGTAAGCCCTCAATAAAGTTTGCAGCATAGAGTGACATAACTTTTGCTAAAACAAAAGAAAACAAAACCAAATCATCCCACTTCATAGAGTGCCTGGGGGAAAGAACGGAGTTTTTTTTTCCCTCAGGCACTTCAGTAGTTGCCTATCTTCCCGGGGGCGGTGCCGCTTGTGGACCTCATGGACCCCGGTGAGGCCGCCATTTTGGAGTCTTCCCTAAGGAGCTTCTACCGGCTTTTCGCGCTGCTGCCGCCGCTACCCGCGGCCTTGCCGGGCAGGATGAATGTGATAGACCACGTGCGAGACATGGCGGCCGCGGGGCTGCACTCTAACGTGCGGCTCCTCAGCAGCCTGTTACTTACAATGAGTAATAACAACCCGTGAGTTGAGGCGGGGAGCGGCCTGGGGCTGAGGAGAAAGCGGCGCCGGTTTGGGAGCGGGGGCTAAGGGGGCCTGGGAACTGGCGGGAAGGAGCGTCCGCGGGCCTCAGCTGAGGCTTCGGGGTCAGCGACGGCATCGTCGGCCGGAGCGGATCTAGGAACGCAAGTTGAGTTGACTCGGTCTCTGCGCTGTACCAGACGCTGGGATGAGCTCCCTGAGGGAGAGGTGGCGAGCGGCGGCTTCGAGAACTGGAAGGCGGAGGCCTTGAGGGCGAGCCTGGCTAGGGTTTCCCGAAAGTTGTGAGCGGAGGGTTCCCTGAGGCACCTGTCGCCGGGCATAGCGACTGTCACTTCGCTGGGCCGACTCCTCTCTTCCTGGCTCTTTGCCGAAGAACGTTTTATCGCTCGCCGCAGCTCCAAGGGGTCCCCATCTGAGATTCATTTTTTCCCCCTTGAGTGTGTCAGAAGGATCCACGTTCCGGCCTCCAAAACCCCAGAAAACGGGAGACCCCTTAGATGGGTGGGAGTGGCGCCCTTTTAAGGACACGCAGTGCCCCTTTCTTGTTTGAGTCCAATGACGGATGCAGCACAGGGCTGTTTCCAGCCTTGAGTGCGCGTTGCTCCCCTGCTTACATTCCTCCATTGTACTTTTTTTTTTTTTTTTAAGATTGTGTTCATTTATTTGACAGAGAGAGACACAGGGAGAGAGGGAACGCAAGCCGGGGGAGCGGGAGAGGGAGAAGTCCCGCCAAGCAGGGAGCCCGATGCGGGGCTCGATCCCAGGACCCTGGGATCATGACCTGAGCCGAGGGCAGAGGCTTAACGACTGAGCCACCCAGGCGCCCCTCCTCCATTGTACTTAAATTCCTTCCCAAGGCCTCGGAGGCCAAACATTTTTCTCCCTGACCTCATTTCATGCCCTCGGCTCACTGTACTTGCAGGCAGTTCCTTCTGTTACTTGAAGCCCCCAGGCTCGTTCTTAACTAAGGGCTTTGGGTTTGCTGTTTGGCTTGGAGTCCACGTCAGTGAACTGTATCCTCAGTCAGGTTTCAGCTCAGATAACCTCTTCTAGGGAACAGCTTCTGTAACTGTCAGAATTGCCCCTAACCCTCACTTTTCATCGCTTTGCCCTGTTCTGTATTCTGCATCACTCTTTTTAAATTGAGATATAATTGACATATTTCAGGTGTGCAACATAATGACTTGTTAATTGTATCAATATATTGTGAAGTGACCGCCATAAGTCTAGTTAACATCCACCACCACATGGTTTTTTTCTTGCGTTGAGAACTTTTAAAGGTTTTATTTTCGTTTATTTACTTGAGAGAGAGAGAGAGAGTGACTGGGGGGAGGAACAAAGGGAGAAGAACAGGCGGGCCCCGCACTGAGTGCAGACTCCAACTCGGCTGATCTCACAGCCCCGAGATCGTGACCAGGGCGGAAATCCAGAGTCTGATGCCCAACCAATTTAGCCACTTAGGCTGACGAGAACTTTTTTAGGATCTGTGTTCTGCATCACTCCTAACACCCAAGGAAGTCAGCACAGTGCCTTTGTGCAATGAGCACTCACATGTTTATTAAATGTGCTAAGGACGTACGTACCTTAGGGAGGTAAAACTGTCCAAATTCACACATTTAGTAAGTGGAGGAGCCATGATGTCTGGGCTTTGGTCCTTCTGATTCTGAAAACTTTGGACTGACCCACCACAGTCTGCTACTTCTAAGTGGCATAATTGAATTTTCTACTCAGGATGGACCCATTTGCCTTTGGCCTGCTCTAGAAGCTGTCTAGGTCAGAAAGGAAAAGACCCTTAAGTGTCTGTACTGCAGCTGCTGATATTTTATTTCCATTAGTGTGCTTCTGGACCTTGCTACATGAGACCCATCATTTCACCACCATCCACTTAGTGTTGACAGTGAGGAGCCCTGGTCTCTTTCAGCCTTCTGTGTTTATTCTGGAGCCTTTGAGTGATTGGTCAGGGAACACTTTCCATCATTGGGAATTTGTGCACCAGTTAGTCATTACTCTTGGTTCTTGAAGATGTTACAGGATAGAAGAAGTTTAATCCTCTGACTTGGCTTAGCCCATGTTTCTTTCTATTAGGTTAAACTGGCAGTTTCCTAGCTTCCGGGAGGTCAGTTTAAATTCTGACCTTTACCATGTATTATTAAATGTTCTTAGTGATTTGGCACTATACACAGTGTGAAAAATTCAAATAGTACAGAAGCGGTATGCAGATAAGTGTCTGTCCCTGATCTTGAACCTTACCCCACCATTTCCATTCTCCAGGCAACAACCAGTAACAGTGTCTCCTGTATCATTCCAAAGATAATTTATGAGTGCATAAGTAGGCATGTGTTACAATATATAAATGTCTGAATGCATTCTCTGAGTGTAGCAGTATTTTCTGTCAAATCTTATTTCTCAGTAAATATGTAGAATCTCAGAGTTGGAAGAGATCTTAAGTATCTGGACTATACCTTTAGTCCTTGAATTTCCTTTATAATTTCATATCCAGTCCAGTGTTCAGCCTAGCTGTCCTTGTTTTTTTTTAAGATTAAAAGAAATTAAGATAAAATTGACATACCAGGGACACCTGGGTGGCTCAGTCGTTAAGTGTCTGCCTTCGGCTCGGGTCATGATCCCACGGTCCTGGGATCGAGCCCAGCATCGGGCTCCCTGCTCAGCGGGAAGCCTGCTTCTTCCTCTCCCACTCCCCCTGCTTGTGTTCCCTCTCTCGCTGTGTCTCTCTCTGTCAAATAAATAAATAAAATCTTTTTTAAAAAATTGACATACCATTCGATTCATCCTTTTAAAGAATACATTTCAGTGGTTTTGAGTATATTCACAGTTGTACAACCATCACCATATCTATTCCAAACATGTTCATTATCCCCAAAAGAAACCCCATATCTGTTAGTAAGCACCCCTAATCCCACTTCCTCCAGCCCCTGGCAACCACTAATCTCTGGTACCTATTCTTGAGTATCCTTCATTTGTTGACAAATCAACTGTTTACAGAGTTGACTGTGACTGTTCTTTCATTTTAAGTGGCTATAGCTTTTACCTGTCAAAGAAAAACGTGTAAATTTCTCTTAATTTGGCAGGAGTCAGGGCAATGAGGGGGGAGTGGAATTGGAGATTAAAAATATGTTTCCCATTAAGAATGGTGGCCAGCTTGGAGGCAGTTATAATGCTTGTGAGCAATGTTCAACATTAATGAAAAAGTTTTGAAATGTTTTACTCTGTCCTCAAACCCCTGAGACTCAAGGAGGTAAAAATTCTTTTAGTGTTCATAACGTTTACTTTTGAGGCGCCTGGGTGGCTCGGTTGGGCATCTGCCTTCAGTTTGGGTCATGATCCTGGTCCTGGGATCGGGCCCCATGTTGGGCTCCCTGCTCAGCTGGGAGTCTGCTTCTCCCTCTCACTCTCCCTCTGTGCTCTCTCTCTCAAATAAATAAGAAATCTTTAAAAAATTAAAAAATAAAATTTGTATGTAAAATTAAAAAAAACCTGTCATCAAATAAGGCTAATCCTCTTTCTATCCCACTTTATCTCATTGGCTTGTCCTCTTCTATTCCCATTCTTCAGCTTTTTATATTCCCATCTTCAGTATTTGAAGAATTTTCAGTTCCTTTGAAACCTCTTTTTTTCAGCACTTTCCTAAAAATGTTTCAAAGTGGTGAGGTCTCACTTTTCCAGGTTCTTCAACCCTTCTTTGATAGCATAAGTTAAATCATTGTGACTTCTCTCCTTTGTCTATATTATGCTAAAAATTGATGCTAATATAAGAAAGTATGGATATATATATCGAACTATTAAATTAAGAGGGCTTTGGGGGGCGCCTGGGTGGCTCAGTTGGTTAAGTGTCCAACTGTGGATTTCAGCTCAGGTCATGATCTCATGGTGGTGAGATTGAGCCCTGCACTGGTCTCCATGCTGAGCATGGAACCTGCATAAGATTCTCTCCCTCTCTTTCTCCCCACCCACTCCACTTGCGCACACGCTTGCACTCTCTCTCTCTTTAAAAAAAAATAGAGGGTTTGGGCTAAAGAAGGGAAGGAGAAGATGTATAACATTTCTCTTTGTATATCTGTGTATTACTGAATTTGATTTAGAGGTATCATTACTTTTATAGTAAATGAGGAAAGCATATTAAAACTAATTTAAAGCAGTTGCCTGTATGTGTTGACCATATTAGCATAGAGTACAACTCATGCCTCTCATTTTAGGGACTAGCACTTAGGGTACAATGACTTTTGTAAGCTGTCATTACACAAGGCTTTATGCTAGACTTATGTGGGTGGACACTAAGGAGGGTGTCTGTCTAACATTTCAAAATAACCCATGTAGGGGGTATATTTTCTTTGTTTTCTAGTGAGTTATTCTCTCCATCTCAGAAGTATCAGCTTTTGGTGTATCATGCAGATTCTCTCTTTCATGATAAAGAATATCGGAATGCTGTGAGTAAGTATACCATGGCGTTACAGCAGAAGAAAGCCCTAAGTAAAACTTCAAAAGTGAGACCTTCAACGGGTAATTCTGCATCTACTCCACAAAGTCAGGTAAATGGAGATGGAGGTGTGATTTTTTTTTTTTTTTTTTGAGAGTGAGAGAGACAAAGAATTTACAAGACTGCTGATTAGATGTAGAAGATGGAAAAAATAAGTAATTTTAAAGGGGAGCTGACTGGAGAAACAAAGATGAAAAATCAGAGCAAGAATGCAAAATTCATTCTGGATGAATCTAAATATGAAGTTAAACATGAATTATATGGGTTCACTGAAGTTCTGCATTGTTCCTCCCTTTTATACAAACAGTTCAAAATCTAAAGTTTTTATAATTTTAATTAAAGTACAAATTTTAAAATGTAACTCAATTATTAGGATTGTGAGTACCTAGGGAAATTTATGGGAAATATTCTAAGAACTTCTGCAGTTTCAGTAGCTTGATAATTAAATAAATGAAGGGGAAAACTGTAATTTCAGAGTCCTCTGATTTGACAGTTGTCCAGTTGCTAGAAATTAACCCTAATAGACTCGCAGAAGGTTTACAGGGTATATCATATAACCAAGGCTGCTTATTGCAGCAATTTTAATGGTAAGAAACTAGAAGCAAAAGTTTTCATCAGTAAGGTCTAGTTAAATTAGAGCATAACCATAAGATGGGATGTGGTGGAACTATTACTTAAATGAAAAATGAGATAGAGGTGCACATGCTGATTTGGAAAGAACTATGTATATTAATAAGGAAAATACAGTTTGAAGAAACGTTTCAGTGCTTTCTGTTTAAAGGGATCGTTTATAGAGATATAAATATATCCTGGTATATGCCTAATATATATGTATACACACACACACACACACACACACACACACCGGTAATATGCATGAAAGATTTTGTGTGTTTGAAGGAAAGCAATTTAATGGTCGAAAGCTTTAGGGAGAGGGAAACTTTTACCTTGCAATTTGACCCTGTCTTTAAGTTTAAATTACATGTGCAACTTATATTTAAAAGGAAGGTCAGTAAAAATTAATAAATACATACATACATACATACAATAGAAGAAATGTCAGTAGAATGAGCTGGGAGTGAAATTATAAGTCATGTTTTTTCTACTTTGTATTTTTCCACATTTTGTAAAAAGACAAATTAGTTGCTCTATTTTTAAAGCCTCTTGATTTTCATCTTGGTGTCTCTTATGTAAAACCTTTGGTTTTTGTTATTAAAGAGTTGATTGCCAGGATTTTCTTTGTTTTCTTTTATTTTTGTTTATTTTATTTTTAAGATTTATTTATTTGAGAGAGAGAAAGAATCAGAGGGAGACAAGCAGACTCCCTGCTGAGCAGCAAGCCTGGTGCAGGGCTCTCTCCCAGGACCCTGAGGTCATGACCTGAGCCGAAATCAAGAGTCAGATGCTTAGCTGACTGAGCCACCCAGGTGCCCCTATTTTATTTTATTATTTTTTTAAGTAATCTATATACCCAGTGTGGGGCTCAAACTCACAACCCCAAGATCAAGAGTTGTATGTTCCACTGACTGAGCCAGCGAGGCACCCCAGGATTTTCTGTTTTCTGGCACTGAATGGAAGTCATGTATATTATCCACATAGGGTCATTCATAGAAGTAGCTAACTTTTTGAGTATTCAGTATGCCAAGCACCATGCTAAACCCTTCATGTTAATTAAATACATTTAATTTTTAAGGAATTTTTTTGACCTCACATTAAAAAAAAGTTTTTGTTTTAATTCCAGTTAGTAATTATTACAGTGTCATATTCGTTTCAGGTATACAATATAGTAATTCAACACTTGCATACATCACCCTGTGCTCATCACGACTAGTGCATTCCTTAATGCTCATCACCTACTTAACCCACCCCCTCACCTCCCTCCCCTCTGGTAACTATCAGTTCTCTATAATTAAACAGTAGGTTTTAGTATGTTCACAAAATTGTGCAACTATCACCACTGTTTAATTCCAGAACATTTTTATCACCCTAGAAAATTCCCATGCCTGTTACCTCCTCAGCCTCTGGGAATCACTAACCCCTCTGTCTATGGATTTGCATGTTCTGGACATTTCATATGAATGGAATCATAAAATATGTGACCTTTTGTGTCTGGCTTCTTTTACTTTAGCATAATTTTTTCAAGTTTGATCCATGTCATAGCATGAATCAGTTCTTTGTTCTTTCCTTTTTATTGCCAAGTAATATTCCACTGTATGGGAGTGCCTGGGTGGCTCAGTCAGTTATGCATCTGCCTTTGGCTCAGGTCATGATCTCAGGGTCCTGGGATCAAGCCTCGAGTCGGACTCCCTACTCAGTGGAGAGTCTGCTTCTTCCTTTCCCTCTGCCCCCTCCCCTCCATTCGTGCTCACTCTCTTGCTCTGGCAAATAAATAAATCTTAAAAAAAAAATTCCATTGTATGGATATGCGATATTTTATGTATTCATTAGTTGACGGACATTACTTCCACTTTTTGTCTATCAATAATGTTGGTGTGGACATTTGTGTGCAGGTTTTTTTTTTTTTAAGATTTTATTTATTTATTCGATAGACACAGCGAGAGAGGAAACACAAGCAGGGGGAGTGGGAGAGGGAGAGGCAGGCCTCCCGCTGAGCAGGGAGCCCAATGCGGGGCTTGATCCCAGGACCCTGGGACCATGACCTGAGCTGAAGGCAGATGCTTAACGACTGAGCCACCCAGGCGCCCCTTTTGTTTTGTTTTTAAGTAGGCTCCATGACCTGAGCTGAAATCAAGAGTCGGACGCTTAACTGAGCCACCCAGGCACCCCAACATTTGTGTGTAGGTTTTTGTGCGGACATAGGTTTTCAGTTCTCTTGGCTGTATGTGCGGGAGCAGAATTGCGGGCTCATATGGTAACTCTATGTATAACATTTTAAAGAACTGCCATATTTTGAAGTAGTATTTTGAAGAAATGTCTTCATTGCCTCTTAGTGTCTTCCATCTGAAATTGAAGTGAAATACAAAATGGCTGAATGTTATACAATGCTAAAACAAGATAAAGATGCCATTGCTATACTTGATGGGATCCCTTCAAGACAAAGGACTCCCAAAGTAAGTTGAATTAACAATTTGTTACATAATATTCATCTACCCGGTCCTTCCAACCCACTTCCTCCATATTTTCTCCATGCTTTAGGGAGTCCATCTGAACATTTTACTCTTGACTCACTTTGTTCCCCTGTTAATGGAGTGGATGAGGTTCAGAGAGAGAGAAGAATTACTTTCCTATGAAACCCTGAAAATTCAGCTGATGAAAATGATAGCTGGAGAATACTACTAGTGCTCATTCTTTGGTATTTCTTACCATAGGAAATAATAATTTGCAAATGCTTCCAGGTGGCAATGGTACTTTTTTTAGAACTCATGTTTTGCATGCTGTAGGTGCCCCCATTTGATAATGTGAATGAGTTTATTAATCCCTTTGTTTTAAAAATCCAAGATTACAAGATCTTTATGTACTTATTTGTATGTGGTATATATATTTGTGTTTGATTTGGCAACATATTATAATCACTAGAACACCTTCAACTGAAATCAAGAGATCTGGTATCTTGTCTGAGTTTAGGGCATACAAGCTGTGTACTGTATAGTGTGAACTTGAGCAAGTTACCAATCTGAACTTTACTTTTTTTTTAATTTATAAAATGAGGTTAATAATACTTTGCTGACCTTTGGAAAAATAAGTTCATATGTGAAAGAATACTTTTCAAAATACTATTCTGTAAGGAGTATTATATTGGATATCTTTGATTACAGTTTGTTTTGAGTCTTAGAAGAACAATGAGAATCCTTGCTCTTAGTATTGAATTCACATCAGTAGTTAATATTCTAACATATACTCTCATGTCGACTGCCTTCCTCACTTCATTGAAGAACCATTCGGTGCAACTTGTGCTTAACAATGAGGAATTTTATATGTAAGATGTCTGTGTACATCCTCCTGCCCTTAAAAGAAAAGGAATCTAAGCAGTGGTTATATTTAGTGTTTTTTCACCTAAGTGTTGCTGAGTTTTAAAAGTAACCAAAACTTGATGAGAATGTGTTTAAGCATCTCCTTATATTGAGGATTTACTTACTATTTTCTGAATATGTTAAAAAACTAAGCTATTTCCTTAGTTTATTTTATGCTATTAAGAACATTTGGAAGCATATTATAGACTAACCTGTCTCATAATAAGGTTGCATGCTTTATACTAAATTGTTTTCTGATACACTATGAAAGACTTATCCCAAGTATAATTTTTTTACATTTGTGAAGAGTGTCTTCCTTTTGGAAGATGCCATTTTGATTATAAACTTGAATGATGCCTTTTCCTTATCTTATTGGAAATGTGCCACAATTTCCTCAATGACTGGAGGGTGGGGACATTTTTTGAAAATGAGTAATGGCAGATAAGCTCAGTTTGTGGTATCCAACACTTTGGTGTTTAAAGCCATCATTTTAAGAGGGACTGGAGGAGTCCACAGTTGTTAGGAGTACATATCCTTCATTCTGTAGAGCTGTTGTAGCCAGGAACAAACAAAGATGTGTGCCTCAAACATAAACCTATAATATTTACAGTTTTTCTTTCTTGTCCGTTAGGGAGTTAACTGGCTTCTCAGTCTGTGTAAAGGACAAGGAAGTGAGTCAAAATACGTCTAAATGAACGTCTGTTAATGTATGGTAAACACCACCACACATTTCTTCACATTTTAAAGGAAAATTCCAGTGTGAGATTATTATATCTTGGTAAATCTTCACCTTTTAAGAGTAAACATATCAACATAAAATTTCTCACTCAGTTTTAAGAAAAAGATGACTGCTTATGTTTCTAACTGGTAGAATATGGCTTTGTGATGTTCCCAAGTAAGGATCTGTTCTAAAGAGAATTGACTTTCTCATAGGTAGTACTCAAAACTCATGCTTTTGAAGTGACAGGTAGTTTAAAGGGAATTTTAATATTTGTTGAGACAGATGGTCTCTAGGTCATAGTTTGTTAATCACAAGCAGTCAAGAAAGGATCTTAAATTTAACCTTTTATTCTTTTCAAGTATTGACACTAATACTGGAGTTTTCCTTTAAGTATTTTCTTTTGCATTTTCAACATAGCCTAAAACAGAAAAGCTGAGGCCAAATAAAGTTTTATTTCTAGTATTTCATTATTTCATTATTTGAATCATCAGTATGGATTAATGCCATACTAGATTGTTTTATATACTGTAAGTCATAATTGGAACAGATGTTCTTCATCTTCAGAGCCCTCTTTTGAGTAAATATCTGGCGTATCAGGCTACAAATAACCGAAGAGATTGGGGATTGGCTTTTTTTGTATATCCTCATGTTGACTGCTTCCGTAGGTTAATGATCTGGCAAACACTGCTATGTTTAAGATTTATTAATTTTAAATTGGAATGTTCTTTTTTTTCTCTCTGTGCTATTAAGAAGATCATTTACTTTTCCTTGTAACTTCTACGTTCTTTGGAACTTTTAGGTTTTCTCAAATTTTCCTTGTGTTTTTAGAAAGGGTTATTTTAAAAGAGCTCTACTGAGTTACAAATTTGAATTGTGCTAAAAATGCATTTACTGGATTTAAATGATGTAGCTAATCTCTGGACCATTGTACCTCCAGAGGTGAGTTAGAGTTTGATTTTTGTAGCATCACTTTGATGAGTCAGATAGTACCTGTGGGTCCATGCTTTCAGTGTTAGAAAGGCTAGAGTCTAGCTGTCAGAATAATTGTCAGAGAGAATCCAGGTATTTAATTCTGTATCTGTCATTTTCTTTTTGTGGAAAATTCATCTGCTCTTTCTTAACAAGCTATGTTAAGAATTCCTCATTTTCTTATGTCTTGATATTAATTGCATTTAAAATATGTAAACTTGAGCACTTCTAGGGTAGTTCATCTTCTGTCTTAAGATCAAGAAAGAATCAAGATAATTAGAATTCTGTAACATTTCTCAAATAAATATTACTCCCATTTCCAGAGGCAGCATCTTTGGTCCAGATAGAACGGGACCTTTTGGTTGGGTAAGTGAGAGGAATTTGACTTTCCTCTTAGAAATGGGAGGATGTAGGAAGAGCGAAAGTAGTAATTTCCTCTTTGGTTTGAAGAATGGGATTGGTCTTCATTTATTTCCACAGGGCTGTGGGTAGATTTTCCAGGAAAAAGTAGAATAGTAGCTGGTAATAAAAAATGAGGACTTAATTGGTGGTGAGATATTTTCTTTGCAATATGCGCTTATCTTACTGTCTTTTGTTTTTGTTTATTACAGATAAACATGATGCTGGCGAACCTGTACAAGAAGGCTGGTCAGGAACGCCCTTCAGTCACCAGCTATAAGGAAGTGCTGAGGCAGTGCCCGTTAGCCCTCGATGCCATACTAGGTACAGATCATTCTCAGCCTATTTCTATGGATGTTTACTCTCTGAGATGGTAGTTCTCATTCTTAGCTGTACATTAGAATCTGTACATGCCAGGGCACCTGGCTGGCTCAGTTGGAAGAGCTTACGACTCTTGATCTCAGGGCATGAGTTCAAGCCCCATGTTGAATGTAGAGATTTACTAAAAAGGTAAATTAAAAAAAAAAAAAAAATTTGCCCATGCCTAACTTCCAGAGAGTGATTCGGTAGATTACTGTTGTCATGTATTTTTCACAGATCAAGAAACATTAAATTATGGTTGTTTTGTCATCTGCATCTTGCTGAGAATAGGGAAAGGGTTACCTTGTTGCCAACAGAAAGAGTAGCCTAATGCTTCTTGCATTGTGGAAGAGGGATGCTCTGCTTCACCTTATTTCTCCTGTTTTCTGTTGGATTAGGTTTGCTTTCCCTTTCTGTAAAAGGTGCAGAGGTGGCATCGATGACAATGAACGTGATCCAGACTGTGCCTAACTTGGATTGGCTTTCTGTGTGGATCAAAGCATATGCTTTTGTGCATACTGGTGACAACTCGAGAGCAATCAATACCATCTGGTGAGAGCCACAAAGTTAATTCAGTGTTCTTGAGGCCCTTTCCTTTATGGAGGTCTGGTGTAAAATAGAAATATGAGATGCTTATTTCTTGGTGTTGCAGCCTGTTGTCCTCCAGCTTGCTTTAGTCTCTTAATGTACTTAATGGTCCTAAGGATAATAATCTCTGCTGTGAGGACCTGTTAAATGTAAACTTTGACCGAGTTCAGCTCTGTATTTGCAAAAGTGGTAACCCTTGCACAGCCGGCTGCATTAGTTGTCATGCTGGAACCTGGAAGAACATCTTTCTGGATGTCCTAGAAGCATAGATTGCAGCATCTGACTTGGGTTGCCTCTTTAGGACTGGGATTTTCTTTTAGTCAATTGAAGTCCAAGGATAAGAGACTGGGTTTTGTGTTACGCAAAGTCACTTGTGAATGACATTACCTTTAGCACCATGTTGTCCTCTGAAAACCTGCAACCAGAAAGTTCTCAGTAATGAGAGAGAATTCTGCTTCATTCTGTATATTGACTTTATTATCGTGTATAACTTTCTTTAAATCATAAGCTCGGAATAAAATCTTAGTGTATATGGTTTGTTTGAAAAGCTTATTATGAAAAATGTCGTATATATGCAAAAGAAAATAGTGCTTATATGCCTGTCACCCAGATTCAGAAACTAAGAGGATTCATAATAAATCTTAAGGGTCAATGTTTAATATTTTGAAGTTCACTAGAGAAAAAGTCCTTATTGCGAGATAACGTGGACCTGCTGGGAAGCTTAGCAGATCTGTACTTCAGAGCTGGAGACAATAAAAACTCTGTCCTCAAGTTTGAACAGGCACAGATGTTGGATCCTTATTTGATAAAAGGTAAGTAATTCTTGAGGCATGGTGGTAGTGGCTGCAGAGGGGAGGATCAGAAAAGAAAGGGAGACAAAGTAGCATAATATTCTGATACCATTTTCAAAGAAATATTTTGTGAAACTTGTTCTGGTAGCCTTTTACCTTTTTTTTTTTTTTTACGTCTGATACATGTCTCTAACACTTGAGTAATTCCATTTTGAGTAGTTGTTTTTGCTTGAATTCAAGCGTCATCTCCAGGCAGATCGTTATTTGGCTTTTTTTGCGGGGGAGGGGTGATAGCCCTTCCTTATGATTTTTAAATTTATGGTGTGCCTGACTGAGAATTTGGATGGCATCCCCAAAACCATAATATCCTTTTAGGGGATTTAGCCTTACTGTATCCTTAGTATACTTAAAAGGGAGTAAGTGAACAGGCATTAAGTAAGGAATGAGGTGACTGAAGGAAGTAATTAGGAATGAACAACAACAAAAAATCATTGATCTCAAAGATTGTAGCTGAAGGGGTGAGCCATAGGGACTTCCAAAGGATGAGTGTCCAGTGACTGGCAGTGAGTGATGGGTAGTAGGAAATAAGGTCTGATAGATAGGCTGGAATCTGCTTATAAAGTCCCAAAAGAGGCCATTAGAAAAATATGGCCTTGTGACAGTAGTTAGTCCTGTAGACTCTTAAGCCATGAGAACTACAGAGCAGAAGATGAGAGAACAGATCCAGAAAGATGAAATTGTTTGCCCAAGGTCTCCTTCCTGCCCAGTGCTTATTTCTCTTCTCTGAGTTTTGCCTGTGCCCATGATGAAGGTAGTGTATTAGAAATACTAGTCTGGGGCGCCTGGGTGGCTCAGATGGTTAAGCATCTGCCTTCAGCTCAGGTCATGATCCCAGAGTCCTGGGATCGAGTCCCGCATCAGGCTCCCTGCTCCTTGGGAGCCTGCTTCTCCCTCTGCTTCTCTCTCTCTCTCTCTCTCTGTCTCTCATGAATAAATAAAATCTTTAAAAAATAAAATAAAAAAAAATGTTTAAAAAAAAAAAAAAGAAATACTAGTCTGGCAGTAGTTGGCAGCTTGGAGTTGAAAGCTCAGGCCCGAGTTTGGGGGCCAGCAGGGAGTATTGCAGTGATCTTGGCAAGAGAGACATTTTCCTGGGAGTCTGAAGGGGTAACAAGGAATGAAGGGGATGGTGGTAAGAGATGGGTGACAGCAAGCATGGGACCCTTTTTATAGAACACGAGTAAGAATAAGCAGGGAGTGGGGTGATCTTAAATCAGCTGGACTCCAAAAGAACTAGATGCTTTTTCTGGAATAGGCTACTTTTTCTGAGACTAACCAGCATATTAAGTATGTACTCTGGACTGTGCCCAGGCTTCTTGGAGAAAAGAAATTACATGATGCCTTTTTGGGCCTTTCCTGGTTATGAGTTAGGATAACTGTATATCATGTCATAGGACAAACAATTCCCAAAAATAATTGGCTTTCAAATTGTGAGTTGTAGACCCTTCTACTCCTTTGCTTTTTAAACTTTTTGGATGTGTTTTGTCTTTTTAATAGTCATTTTTTTCGGGACACCTGGGTGGCTCAGTCGGTTAACCGTCTGCCTTCAGCTCAGGTCATGATCCCAGGGTCCTGGGATCAAGTCCCATATCGGGCTTCTTGCTCAGTGGAGAGCCTGCTTCTCCCTCTGCCTGTCATTCCCCCTGCTTGTGCGTGCTCTCTCTCTGACAAATAAATAAAATCTTTTTTTAAAAAGTCATTTTTTTAAATTTAAGATTTATTTATTTTAGAGAGAGAGGGAGAGAGCTCACAAGCCATAGTGGGGGGAGGGGCAGAGGGAGAGAGAATCTCAAGCAGACTCCCCGATGAGCACAGAGCCTCATGCGGGGCTTGATCTCACGATTCTGAGATCATGACCTGAGTGGAAATCAAGAGTCAGACTCCCAACTGACTGAACCACTCAGGCGCCCCTTTAATAGTCATATTGTAGGAAAGTGGGAATGCTGGTGGGAGGAGCTCATGCTGGTGGAAAGGGCTCAGACAGTGCTGGAGTTGGGGCTTGAGTGGGGGCTCTGATGAAGGCTGTTCCTCTTTAATAAATGACACCTGCTGCTTTTTAAAAAAGCCTCTTCCTTTCCAGGAATGGATGTATATGGCTACCTCCTGGCAAGAGAAGGGCGGCTAGAGGATGTGGAGAACCTTGGCTGCCGCCTTTTCAATATTTCTGATCAGCATGCAGAACCCTGGGTGGTCTCTGGGTATGTTTATGCCTTCTTTTTTCTCTCCAGTTTTCAGTACACTCTTTGGGAAACTGTGTTTCCTCCCAAATAGCATATAGGTTGAAAACACAGGTTTAAGAGATAATCAGACTTAGAATTCAGATCAAGGTCTTTGACTTTGGACACATTAGTTAACTCACTGAGTCTTTTCTCAGACTTTCAGGGGGTAGATATCCACTGAGATAATGCATTGTGCTCAGCACTGGAAGCCATCAACGAACAGGCCAGAAGCTGCTGCTTTGTTACTTAACGTGGCTTTACAGATTCTCTGAATATCTCTCACTTGATAACATCCAGATACCAGGTTCTTTCCCATAACTTTTCCCTTCCATATCAATATTTCCCCTTCAAAATAAACGTTTAGATTTTTTTGTGTCCCCCCCCCTCCCCCCGCGCTAATATCTCAGGTAAAACTGTAAGTTTGCTTTGTAATAAGGATCAGGTAGAGGTCCTTCTATTTGGTTCTGAATGAAGTTTCTTTACCATTTTCTCTCAGGTAATGTTGCATTGTTTTTTTTTTTCTCCAGGTGTCATAGCTTTTATAGCAAACGCTATTCTCGGGCCCTCTATTTAGGAGCCAAGGCCATTCAGCTGAATAGTAATAGTGTTCAAGCTTTGTTACTTAAGGGAGCAGCACTTAGAAACATGGGCAGAGTCCAAGAAGCAATAATCCACTTTCGGGAGGCTATACGGCTTGCACCTTGTCGCTTAGATTGTTATGAAGGTAAGATGAAAAATAGAGATGGATGGTGTGAATCTCTAGGTGTGTAGCATTAGCTCTCAGATGGAAGGTTTTAATTTTTGTTTTTTTGAGAGAGAGAGAGAGAGAGAGAGAGAGCACATGCACTCACAAGTTATAGGGGGAAGAGGCAGAGGGAGATAGAGAATCTTAAGCAGGTTCCATACCCAGCACGGGGCCTTGATCTCACGACCCTGAGATTATGACCTGAGCCGAAATCAAGAGTTGGGATGCTTAACTTACTGAGCCACCCAGGCGCCCCCGGATGGAGGGTTTTGTGAAGCCAGCAGTTCCCAAACTCTCTTGGATGTTAGAGTCCTCTGGGGGCACTTTTTTAAAAATCCTCATGCCAGGTCACGCCAGTACTGTCTAAATCAGAATACTGTGGTTGGGAGATAGACACCAGTATTTTTTTGAAGACCCCAGGTAATGCCAATATGTGGACAAGTTTGGGAATCACTGCATTAGGCATTTAAAAAATCATTTACGGCTTTCACTGGACCTTCAGAATATATTTTTTTCATTCTCTTTTCCTGGTTTGTGGTGAGGGAGTAGTTGGGGACGGTCTTTTGTCCTATTTTTATTTCTCAAACATGGCCCACTCTTTAATGTGAATCTGTGCTGGCACTGTGCTAGATCGCTTGGTTTTGTCTTTATTCTTTTTTAACAGTTTTACCTTGGGCCAGAAATATTACTCAAGAGGGTAACTTCATATCCATGACAGTGTTAGTTGTGGGAACTAGTCAGTTCATTGTGACCTCCTGAGTGGGCATGATCAGGGTCAAACTTTGTTTTGTTATGTACTATTTTAAGTTCATGTGAACTGACCCTAGGAGTTCAAAGGATGCGTGCCAGCTTCAGCAACATTTGGTGACTCAGTCACAGATGTTAAAATAGATCTTATAAGATGCAGTTCCTCCAAAGCATATTTTTATAAGAATTTAAAAATAAACCCAGGAGTCTAAGAGTGACTTGCTCTTAACAGGAAGATGAGTTCAGATTTGAGAAAATTTGGAAGTTGGGGTAAAGAACAAATCTGTTTAGAGAACTATGCATATTGTGGATTTGTTCTTAAAGTATCCCCAGCAAACCAAGATTTTGGTTCCAGATTAAATTTTTGATCCTGAAACTACCTACCTTAGCCTCTCAGCTGCTTTTATCACACTAATTCCTTTTTGCTGCGTGCCTGTTTCACAAGAGCCCAGGATTGCAGTTGAATAATGAACTCCACAATGTTTGGGCAGAGGATGGTTAGAGTCTTTGGGAGCAGAGGACCTTTCTCAGGCCAGTGAGGCTTCATGGGTTGCCTGCACTCAAGCTACCATTTGGAGTTTTGAAGTAGGGTAACCGATTATGCTCTCTGCTGCTTCTTGTAACCTCCAGCTGAGCTTCCTTTATTGGCGGAGGCATTGGAGTAGTGAAGAACATTCTTTCCATTTCCTTCTGAAGTTCCAAGAGGGGCTTTAGCAGGGAAATAAAACTGCTCAATAAGTAGTTGCAAACAACTATATTCTGAATCCAGCACGTTGGCCTGAAGAGTTAGGTAATTTCTGGTTAAGTAACCATAGTGTGTGGTAGAATGTGCACAAATACTATAAATGCTGCTAGGGTGGAGGAGTGCATAGAGAAAATCTGCCAGGGATGCGTGGGTATGGGGTTTAAGCTGTTTTTCTGTTTTGATGAGAGCTTTGTGTCAAAAAGTACTTCCTCTGTTCTCAAGTTCTTGGCAAGAAGAGTTGAGAGTTGTCTTTGCTTGAGGTGTCCCCATAGGGCATCTGGTGGGTGTGGTAAGAGGCAGGAGCTGCCACTCTCTGTGCATTTGGTCCATCTGATAAGTGTTTTCCATCTAGGTTAGGGAAACCCTCAGCAAATGTATTTTGAGATAACTTGTTTCAAATGAAAAGTTGTCCTTTCTTCTTAGGTTCCTCCGTAGGTCCATTACTAGAAATTACACTAAACTAGTAGTTTTGTAGAGCCGGACATTCACTTGGAACTGTAAAGCTCTTCCACATAAGCCTAGGACTAAAGGTGACTGAATACAGCCAGGAATTAATAGCTCGTTTAGAGGCAGTGGAACCTTGTGCTTTGTTGTCAGCGTCATCTCTATTTCAAGTAATGATTAAGGTCTTACTTCTCTAACATTCAGCTGGGCTGCCTACCTGCTTCATTTTACTTATGCGTGTTTGTTTCTTTTACTAACTAAAGGTGCCTTTGCAGTGCATGCAGCCTTTTTCTACATCCCTGAAGTGCCCTGGGGAAGAGCACTTCTTATTGTATCAACATACTCTCTAGTCTCATGTCATCAGAGTTTTCCCCTGGCCTGCCCTTTGTCTGAAGCTTTGAAGGTTTGCAGTTTGGAAGGCTGTCAGAGTGGAAGCATTGCTTAGAATGGTAATGTGGTTGAACTTTTGTTTTATTTTTTCAGGTCTCATTGAATGTTACTTGGCTTCCAACAGTATTCGTGAAGCAATGGTAATGGCTAACAACGTTTACAAAACTCTAGGAGCAAATGCACAGACCCTTACCCTTTTAGCCACTGTTTGTCTTGAAGACCCAGTGACACAGGAGAAAGCCAAAACTTTATTAGATAAAGCCCTGACCCAAAGGCCGGATTACATTAAGGCTGTGGTGAAAAAAGCAGAACTACTTAGTAAGTGTATCTTATTTACTTCCCTTTTGTTGTTAATTGTATAAAACCTGATCTCATTTGGAGTTCCTGGTCCCAGCTGGTTACAGATGACCAGACAGGTGTGTGCCTTTTGTAGTAGATTTGCACCTATGTGAATTGGTGTATATTTAGCACAACCAAATGTAGATGGCTTAGACCGGCTTGGATTGGCAGTGACTCACTTTTTGAGTGGCTCAAACCAGCTATACCTGGTTGGTACCTGTTCAGCTCACTTTGATCTGGTTTTGGTTTTCCTGAACTAGTTTGGGCTGAATAGAACTGGTTTTAGCCAGCTTGAACTATTTCGACCCATCCTGATTTGCTTATGACTTTCCTTTTAGCTTTTGTTTTTTTAGTCCTGATTTATGATGAAATCCTGGGTTTGGGCTAGTTTGGCAAATAAAACGCATTTTGGCTTTTTATTTGAACTAAGGTTAAGAGTATAATTTAAAAAATTAGAACTCAAGCTCTACATTTCTTAATCAAATAGGAATTCATATGAGCTTTTTCTTCTTTCTTGCCATACCACTATTCTCTTAAAGACATCTACAAAGAGATTATTGGATTGTGATCATTGTTGTGGTTTTGTGTATATGATTTGAGATGGGGGTATATTTTCACAATGTTAAGTAGGAAAATGAGGATCTTTTTTCTTTTTAGGCAGAGAACAGAAATATGAAGATGGAATTGCTTTGCTGAGGAACGCACTAGCTAATCAGAGTGACTGTGTCCTGCATCGGATCCTAGGAGATTTCCTTGTAGCTGTCAATGAGTATCAGGAGGCAATGGACCAATATAGTATAGCACTAAGGTAGGCACTTAGCCTCCCATGGGGGGAAGGTCAATGAGGGGAAGAGGAAGCAGGGAACTATGTAATAGGAATTCTGGAAACACACACACTTTTGTGCCCATGGTTGAAACAGAATAATAATAGTAATGGTAGAAGAATTATTTGTGAGTTCTGAAAAAAAAAAATTCATAAAGTATATTATAAGCAACATTAAAGAACTGTTTCACTCATAACCAGCCCATATCACTATATCATCTGTTTTCATTTGTATAGATCATCTTCCTGGCCTTGCCCACACATAAACATATTTTTATAGGGTATATGTAGTATATATTTTATAATCTGCTTTTTCAAATCAAAAATATTGTAAGTACTTTCCCATGTTTCTACCTACTGTAGTAAAGAACTTAAGCTCTGAAGTTGAATATTACCTTCACCTGTTATCTTGGGCAAGTTACTAATTTGTTTATATCTATCTTATTAGGTATTAAATGGTTAAATGAGGATTAAATTATTCCATGTAAAGCTCTTAGTGCTGTGCCTGGTACATAGTAAATACTAAATAAATAGTGGTATTCTTACTGTTTAATATAGAAGTGATTTCTTTGAGGGTTGTCTGTGTGTCTGTAAGGTTATGAAGGCCTGTCTTTAATCGAGTCTGATCACATCCATTTATTTGTTCAGCAGTTGAGCACCTGGCATCTCAGTAACCACTGGGTGTGCTGCGATTCTGGGAGCTCTCAGTCTCAGGCATGTAGACTGATGGATGCCACGTGCTAAGTGCTTTCATAGCAGTCTCTAGAAGGCAAGGTGGGAGTCCCAAGGGTGGGGAGCCCTGGGTGTGGGTGAGAACTGTATGGAAGGTTTCAGAGAAGAGGTTACAAATCAATCTACAGTTACATAAGTAGAGGTGGAATTTGCTAGAGATTGGACACCTCTTGGCCTTGGTGATAATCACAAAGGCTAGAGGAAGAATTGTTTAGAAGCCAAGTAAATACATGTTCTGGAGCCTCTGAACTTTGGGGATTTTGGCATGTGTAATGATTCTTAGCTGCTAAACTCGTGTGCCCAGGTGGAGGTAGCTTTGGGTCCTGGGGTCTAACCTAGGAGTTGACAGATGTATTCCATGGTAAGCATGACAATTTTGGTTGACTACTGAAATGCTGATGTGGTTAATTACATCATAAGAACGTGAAACAACTTCACTCACAGAAAAATAAGTATTTTTTTGTAACTTTGTAGCTTAAATATCTGATACTGTTAAGAAATTACAGTTGAATTTTTCTGTTAAAGGTGGTTTGCTGCTTTTTCATTTGTCTTATCTAGTATCTTCCTCCAGCAGAATGCTGGGGTAATAAGTGTGAAAACGTTTAAGAAATACGTGGAGAAAAACTCAAATTGAGAATTCTAAAAATTAGGACAAGACACCTTTTTTCACTTCTAGTGGTGGACTCCCTGGATCTCACCTGTGGAACCAGAGTTGTTTGGAGAGGCCAGGCATTAGCAGTTTCTCTGTGACTGGGTGGTCATTTCACTGCCGTACCAGGGAGATGACGCATCAGCCCGCAAGAAGCAAGGCAGAGATTCAGGCCTCTCCTTTGTTTTGTTGTCCCCTAGTTTGGACCCCAATGACCAGAAGTCTCTAGAGGGGATGCAGAAGATGGAGAAGGAGGAGAGTCCCACGGATGCCACTCAGGAGGAGGATGTGGACGACATGGAAGGGAGTGGGGAAGAAGGGGACCTGGAGGGCAGCGACAGTGAGGCGGCCCAGTGGGCTGACCAGGAGCAGTGGTTCGGCATGCAGTGAGGCAGGCGGCAGCTCTGTGGCCACACTGGCCTGCCCTGCTCTGAGCACTTCTGTGGACTGAAGGAGCCCGGAGGAGCCCGCTCTCTGGGAGGACAATGATTCCGCATGTAATTGCAGCAGGGGTCTCTACCCCTTGCTCCATATTTCTAGTAGTGAATTCATTTTTAAAAACTGAGCCTGACCGACCTTCCATATACCTCTATCCTCCCCTGCTCCAGTCAGGGAGGATCGAGTGAGCTCTCTGGGAGGCCTGCAGATGTGCCAGGGCTTCTGGGACAGAGTGCTTTTTATATAACTAATTTCTAAATCTGAAAGTTTGAGGAATAGACAGTTTTGTCTGTGACATTGTGGGTGAGTTTAAAGGAGTGACCTATCACCCAGAGCAAGAGTGTCCTCTCCCATGTCAGACAGCAGCATGGGCTGGCCCTTTCAGAGAGGGTTTCCTGTTCCGGAAATCATCATCCTGAGCTGTCCAAACTTCCCTAGTAACCTTGCTTCCTTCTGCAATGTTAGTAATGCCTTAAGCTGACAGTTGCTATTTTGCAGAACAATTTTCCTATTTGCTAATCTGGTAACTTGCCTATGAGCCTGGGCCGGATCTGAGAAGTGGGTGTGACCTAGAGCATGAACAAAGGCACACCTGGGGTAATTAACTAATAAAACTGTTTTTTGTACAGTAATGGTGTTGGGTTGATCACAATGGAAGCCCTTTATAGATTCTTATTTTGCGGGGGGGGTCTCTGAGTCACAATGCGTTGATTCAGCCCCAGAATTATTTGCCATAAATACACTCCCTTTCTTCCCAGAGTGTTGGGAGCCAGGAAGATTGGGAACTTTGGGTAACACTGCGGTGGTTCATCTGTTAGCATTTTTGATTGGTTAAATTCCCCTGGGGGAGAGAGTCTTTGGCCTGATTGTAGCTGGTTCTGCCCAGTTCTGTCGAGGGCACTAAACAAGTCGGTGTCTGGTTACAGCATTCTGTCACGGGATCAGCAGGGGGTGCATTCCCTGGGCTTGGTGCTGGGAGATTTTACCCTACCCTCTTGTTTCTTAAGATGCCATGCTTTTCACTGTATCCTTAACTTGGAGGTGAAGATGAGAATGGCACAGTTAACCCCAAATACTCACTAAAACAAAATTAGTCAAAGGTGATACAAAATGTGATTTTGATATAAATGGAAAGTTCTGTCCAAAGTGTAAAAACAGTGGAAGTGTGCAGTAGTTTAGGAGCTCAGAACATGGTAACTACAACTACAAGTGGGCAAAAAATGTTATTGTTCGAGTATCTTTCAGTATGAGACACAAAGTCTGGGCAGCCACTATTTGATCAAACAGTGTTTAAAGAGTCCAGCTAGCAGTTGGGGTCGTTCCCGGTGAGCATGCTGCCGGGGAGAAGACACTGCTCATTGGCCTCGGTGCTTGCTCTGGATGTAGCTTCATGGCCTTCGGCTTCCTCTTAGCAGCTGTTACAAGTCAGTGCGTTGGGAAGGAAGGTGAAACCTCTTTGCCATTTCCCTGGCTTGGGGAAGAAGCCCAGCCACACCCAGCCTACATGTTGCCGCATGCCAGGCTTGTCGCTGTTAACCCTGAGATTCCCATGGGGTCAGGATGTGCCTTGGAGCCCACGCCCTGTGTATTACCTTCTGTCAGCATGTTCCTCCCCTTTCCTGGGCTGGCCCTCAGCCCTGCTGCTGGGATCTGGATCATCCCAGACCCCTCCATCCTGGCAACACCCTGGGCTGGATCCCTCCTACCCCTCCGACCTGCAGCTCCAGCATTTCTATCCTGACCATGTTAGGGTCAAAACTGGGTTGGAAGAGGCAACTGAAGCTACATTTTTTAGCGCACCTGATGGAGGATTGAAGACACTCTTGGTCCACATCAAAGAAGGGAGGAGGGTGCTGAAGATCTCACCTGGCATTGCTACTGTCACTTGGTCTCACAAAAAAAAACCTCATAAGGGCAGGGAGCCCCAGGAAGCAGGAACAGAATCAGGCTGCCCAGCTCTCTGGCTGTCCCATTGAGCAACCTTCCAGGAGACGAAGCTTCTTGATCAGGGATGGGCTCCCAAATGCCTGTAGTCAACCACGGGTACCCTCTGGTGTCTGGAGTTTCACACCAATAAGGAAGAGGATGTTTTAACTAATCCTCTCCTTTCCCTCCACCAGTTTGGAATCAGTCTAGGTTCTTTAAAAGTCCCTGCTCTCCCACTGTCAGAGCTGCAAGTCAGGGGCCGTTTAGTTCGCTTCCGTGGCCTGAGCTCCAATAGCTTCAGGACTGAGGATGGAATCAGCCCACAAGGAGTTCAGTATGGTGCCCATTGTGTATCCCATTACCTTTACCAGGGTAAATGTCAGACTGCCAGTCTTTCCCTTAGGAATTGAGGATTGGTGGTATCACTCTGAAGCCTTCCTGTCTTTTTTCTCCTGGAGGTCCCTCAGCTAAACAAGGAGGCAGGGTCCTAAGGAAGGGTGCTCCTTGCCCCCTGTCTTGGGTGTTCACACTCTGAACCCTTGCTGTATGCCAGGGATCTGGCAGACATGGCCCCTACAGGGTTGATGACAGGAGCTCTCCTTCCCAGCCTTAGTTTGGGAGCCATGCTCCTGCCTCTGAGTTCTTCCTCGGAGAATGAGACCAGCTTTTGCCAAAATCTGTAATTCTCAGATGATGCAGATTACCAGGCACAGCATCAAACCTGAATCCAAATCCAGGGCTCCTGCCCAGGAATCTGCATCTTCAATCACTCCCACCTTGATTTCTTTTTTGGATGCAGGCATTTTGTGGTCCAAATATTGAGAAACCTGGGGGAGGGGACTTGAGGGTCCCAGAAGCTGTAGGCTTGACCTCAGAAGGCCTGTGGGGGCCTCACTGTACAGCTGTCTGACCAGGTTTTTGGAGGCCATACCCAGACCTGAGGCCACAGGCTCTGCCTGCTGCATGGTAACTGTATTCTCCGTTGGCTACAGGCAGTGAGGCCTGACTCAACACGCACCTCACCGTGGCCTCCGGGGACCATGGCCTTGACCAGGCCAGCCAGGAATCCCTGGCACTGGGAGGGCACATTGAGGTAAGTGCCTCACTAAGGTTTTCCACTTCTCTCTGGAGCCTCTCCGCCCTGGGGCAGTGGATGGAGGGGAGGGGGTGGTACACCAGCCGCCACTTTCCCTCTTGGGGCACAAAATGGCAGGCTTCTGGTGTCTCGATGCTTCTGAGCTGCTCCGGCTGCGCCACTAGACAGGGCCAAGGTGTATGGGCTTTTTTCCAGATTACTGTGGAAGATGTTGGGTGTTGGCAACACAGAACACGTCACTTATTTCACAAATCACATAGTATCAGCAATACCAGGAACAAGCCAGAAACCACCAAGTCGGTCTCCTTAGCAGCCATTAAAACAGTTTAAAATTAAGAGTACCCTCACGCATTGTTGGTGGGAAAGTAAAATGATAGAGCCATTGTGGCCATTGTGGGGAAAACAGTCTGGCAGTTCTTCAAAAGTTTAAACAATTACCATATGATCCAGCAATTCCACTTCTGGGTACATAGCCAGAAGAATTAAAGCAGGATCTTCACCAGATACTTGCACACCCTTGTTCATAGCAACATTCTTCACAACAGTGAAAAGGTGGAAACAACCTAAGTATTATATTGTGGAATGAATGGATTAACAAAAATGCAGTGTGTGTGTGTGTGTATGTATGTACACACACACACACACACACACAATGGAATACAATTGAGCTTTAAAAAGGAAGAAAGTCCTATCACATGGCACAACATGGATGAACCTTGAGGACATGCTAAGTGTAACAAGCCAGGCACAAAAGAAGAAATACTGTAACGTGATCCCTGGAGAAGCCAAAATTCATAGAGACAGTGGAATGTTGGTTGGAAGTTGGGCAGGGAGCAGGGATAGGGAATTAGTGTTTAACAGGGAAAGGTTTCCATTTAGAATGTTGAAAAGGTTCTGGAGATGGATGGTGGTGATGGTTGCACAACATGAATGTACTTAATGCCACCGAACTGAAAAACGGTTAAGATGGTAAATTTTATTTATATCTATATATAGAGAGAGTTATATGTATATATGTATGTATGTATGTATATACACACACACATATGTACTATGTATATAGACACTTTTATATGTATATGTATATAACTAAAAACCAGTAAAGAAATGGTCTATAATTCTGTTGTCCAGACAGCCCCATTAACACATGTATTTGTAATTATATATGTGTTATATGAATGTATACATAATTTTAAAAATTCAAAGAAAGGTATAAAATTAAAATCTACCCACTGAATCCCAGTGCCTCTCTACAAAATAAATGTTCTAGTTCTACCTTTAGAAAAATAGTTTTGCGCCTTTACTTAATGATCTGTATATGAAAGTTACACTAAAGTAGTCATGCTGTCACCCTGAGAAATTCCTGCCCGAGGTTGTCTGCGTGCTCTTCCTTGTTTGACAGTTCCACAGAATTCCATTCTGTGGATGGAACAATTTCTGTAATCCTTCTGCTGTTGGTAGACACTTGTTTCCAGTTTTGTATATAATTATTACAGTCTGCACTGTTGTGAACATATTTTGGCATAATCTAAAGACACACGGGTCAAGTTCTTTGCAGTGTAATTTCTGGGTCTCAGACTATGTCCATTTAAGGCTTTGATGGATGCTGTCAGATTGCTCTCCAATAGCTTGTTTCCTGCACTCTCACCAATACCAGTGTCAGGGGTTTTTTTTTTTCTTACCAGTTTTAGGTGTGATAAATATTCCATCATTTTTATTTGCTTGAGCTACAATTTGAGTGATCAAGCAAGCCGTTTGCTTATGTTATCACATCTTAACATTATAGCCCTGAGGCATAAAGAGAAAATGGAGCAAGGTCCTCAGCCTTGCTGCATTTAAACCTTGCCAGCCAGACTGTCAAGGACAACATCATCACAACGTAGCTCTCAGCTCTCTCTTTTGTCACTTAAATCTTCCAGCGTCTGTCTATAAACAACCCTCTGGTGACCTCCTTTGTGCTCGCAGCTTTTTCCTTCTTTGGGCAAATTCCCAGGAGGGGGATTTCTGAGTGATAGTGCATAATCTTTTTTGGAATGTTTAAGGGGTCTAGTTGGCTGGTCCTCTCTCTGTTCAGTGAATCTGTAAGCCAAGGCTGGCCCTGTGGCCTCCCCTTCTCCTGTCGATGTGGCCTCTTCTGGCCATCCCAGTCTACCCAGGGTGTCAGTCCATTTATTGGCTTCAGGTTAGGGGTGAACCAGGCGCTCCCTAATCTCTGAAACTTTCCCTTGCTTCTCTCAGTGGAGTTGAGAGCTTGTGGTGGACTCTGGTGATGTCTGCCAAGGCATCTGCCTTTGCTTTCTTGGGCCTTTGGGATTTGGGGCCCCTTCCCCCATGGAACAACCCTTCCTGGCTCTAGGTTGGGGAATGTTTTCTAGATTGAGATCAGATCTTGCTTGCTCTATCTAGGGCTGAAGAAGACTATGCTTGATAAGGTTTATGGCTACTTGTGTTCTGAGTACCTATCTTCTTTCAATGGTTTCAATTCCTTCCATTGAAGGAATCCCACTCACTCCAGTAGGAGAGCTGAGCCTCTCAAGGGGAGGGCCTCTCCATCACTAGCTGGAAGCCAAAGGTCCATGGCCTGTCACTAGCTGTGTGGTCACAGGTAACTCTCAGGCTTTCTGTGCCTCCATTTACCTTTGGAAGAGAACTCAGAGTCTGGTTCCATCTCCCTGTTGTTGGAGTGGGGGCGCTTTGTGGCAGGGATGTCAGCGCTCAAGGCTTGGGTGGAGCATGTGGGAGGGGAGCAGCCTCCCAGGGCTAAACTGGGGATCAGTGACCTACAGGCTGTACCCCTTTTGGCACTGGATCAACAGATTTGCCCTGAGCCCCTCTCAGTGATAGATTTAGTTTTGCATGCTCTGTAGCCCACAGTTCATCTTCCATCCATGACCTCAGCCTACTTGGCCCACTGGCCCATCTCTCTTATCAGTCCCTTGGGGCAGTGGGGATTTTTTGGTCCAGGAATTGAGTGGGAGTGGCAGCAAGCAGCCATCTGTCCTGAGAGAGGCCTGTGCCCTCCAGCCTGGGTGCTGCCCAGACTGAAGCTTCATCTTGGACTGGCTGAAACAAGCTGACCCCCAACATCCCACAGGCCCAGGCTGCTTCCCACTCCTGTGCTGTTGCTTTGCTGAGCCTGGTGGTATATGACAGGAAGGAACAGAGATGACCCCTATGCACAGCCCCTATCTACAGCTTTTTTTGGAATGATGAGCATAAACTCAAGCCAGGCATGCATTGACCAAGAAGACAGCTTCCCTCAGCTTGGGGGAATCCAAGGGGAGCTACCTTGGAGGTCAGGGCCATGTGGAGGCCCTTAAGGAGGTCCAGGAGAGCAGCCTCCTATATAAAATAATTCTGCCAGTGCATCAGGGCCCACAGCCTGCCCCGGGACCAGACAAATATTTCTTTTCTTTTTTAATAAAAACATAAATTTGTGAAGTATAGCACACATACAGAAGTGTTTGAAAACATGTAGTGTTTAAAGAACCACAGAACACACGTGTACACTCCACCCAGGACAAGAAATAGAATGCTTCACAATCCCAGAAGCACCCTCCCACCCCGCTGTGTATTTAGACCTGATCACAACCCTTTCCCTTCCTCCTTTCACACTCCCCTTACCAGAGGCAACCACTCTTCTCAATTTTGTTTTTATACTTCCTTTATTTTCTGGCCCTGGAAGGTCTTGTGAACCTTGAGCAAGTGATGAGCTAATTTTTCTCACCTGTACAAAAATAATACCGTTACTCAGCTGTAGTTTTACCATATCTTAACACTTTTATTTGCTTGTTCTTGAACTTAATGTAAGTGGAGTCATGTCTGTTTTTCCATGGTATCTTTTGCTTAATGTTATTTTTAAAATTGATCCATGTTAATGCTGCTATAACTCATTCATGTTTTAATGGACATTTTTAAGATTTTATTTGAGAGAGTGAGAGCATGAGTGGGAGTGGGGGGTAGAGGGAAGGGAAAGAGAGGACCCCAAGCAGACTCCTCGCTGAGTACGGAGCCCCACCAGGGCTTAATCTCACAACCCTGAGATCATGACCTGATCCAAAACCAAGAGTTGGATGCCCAACTGACTGAGCCACCCTGGTACCCTAATTAATAGACATTTTTAGAACATTTTTAGATTTATAGAAAAATTGAGTGCTAGTACATAGAGTTTCCAATTACCTTGCACAATCTCCTTATATCAATATGGTACATTGATTATAATTCATGAACCAAGATTGATACATTATTATTTTTGAAGATTTTATTAGCAAGAGAGTGAGAGAGAGAGCATGAGTGTGTGTGGGGGGGGAGCGGGGGCAGAGGAAGAGGGAGAAGCCGACTCTCCACTGAACACGGAGCCCAACTCTGGGCTCAATCCCAGGACCCGGGATGATGACCTGAGCTGAAGGCAGATGCTTAACTGACTGAGCCACCCAGTCGCCCTGATACATTATTGTTAATAAAAGCCCACAGTTTATTTACACTTTCTTAGTTTTTACCTGATGTCCTTTTCCTGTTTCACGATCCTCTCCAGGATAGTACATCACTTGTAGTTATCATGTCTCCTTAGGCTCCTCTTGGCTGTGAAAGTTTCTCAGACCTAACTTGTTTTCGATGACCTTGATGATTTTGAGGAGGACTGGTCAGGGGTTTTGTAGGGTACCTCATTCACTTTTCATTGCTATGTGATATAATTTCATTGCTCTGTAGTAATGTATAACATTCTAGTGTATAATGCATGGTTATGACACACCTTACTAGTTCCCCCATTGATGGACATTTCAGTTCCTCATCTTTTGTTTCAAACAGTGCTGCTATATATACTTTCGTATGTGTCTTTTAGTGCTCATAAGCACACATTTCTGATTTCTGTAGGGTTATACCCAGAGGCAGAATTGGTGGGTACAGAGTATAGACACGTTCAGTTTTACCAGTTATTGTCAAACTGTTTTCCAAGGAAGTTTTATACGTTTACAGGTACAACTGCAGTCCCTTGG